TTCTTTCAAGTTTTTTTCCTTTTTTAATTAAAAATAATGACCTGATGATGCACATAAAGCTGCAGTATCTCTTGATGTTTTTGAAGTGGATGAAAAAATAAGGTTTTAATATTAGCTCAAAGTAACTCCTCCTTGAATAAAAAAGATCTGCTACAGAACATTTCAGTCTTGCAACTCTATTTGTGTAAGACCTGCATAAACCTCATTGTATTAAAATATGCTTTAGCAGCGTTTCTTGAATTACACCTAGAAATCAAAACTTTTCTTTTTCTTTTTAAGGTAAACATGTTCAGAACTATCTACCACATTATTTTACTTGATTCCTGTCTGGATCTTCTCTAAAATTAAATCAGAAATCTCAGTATTTTGTCAAAAACTCAGAAAAACAGGGGCTAATACTGTATTATGTTCTGCTTGCTGGTTTCCATCAAAATAATAGTAGAACCTCCATGTAGATGCACACTTAAAACTGAAACATCTTGAGTAAGCATTGGTAACTTGTTCAGGATATATCACAGGACGCAGGTGCAAAACAACACAATACAAGGCTAAGATGCCGCAAGATTAATGTCATGAGATTTCAGCAATTGAGGCCACTGAAATCCATGTGATTTGGTGACTGGGTGAGATTTCTCCTTTTTTGGGTGGGGTGGAGGGTTCCTCATGCACCATCTAGCGATGTCGTGAATGCCTGAGCATCCATGGAGGCCACTGTGCTTAGAATATGATCAGGCCCTTGCCTGAATCACACAGCACATTGGAACTTTTTAATTATCCCTCTGAAATTCATTAGTTTGCCAAAGCTTCACTTGCAAACTCCTACACAATCACAGCGAGCCTGTTCCACAAGCTGTGGGCATGAACTCTCCTAGCAGCCTGATTTACAATGCTTAGCCGTAATGTTAAATGAACTTGCTCTAGCCAATGCACTTTCTTCTCCGTTCTGCATCTCTCACACACCTACAAATCTGGTCCTTTGGCAGTGGCAATGAATACTGAAACATCTGCTTCTTGTTTAATTATGGCTTACTGATGCATCTGAGGAGGTTTAAAAAAAACCTTGGCTAATCAAAACAATGAGAATCAAATTACAGCTTATGATATTTCCGTAAACCACAGCTTGCAATTTTCAGATGCAACAATAAACCTTGAACAGAAAGTAGATGTGTTCACTTCTCTTTCTCATGGAGGGAGAGCATGTGAGCATGTGACTTCAGTACATTTATTCACATCCTGCTAAAACTGGTTTATTGCTGAATTTCACTGAGATTCCACTGCGCAAAGTGTATTGGAGGAAAAACATTGCCTGAAAGTGTCCAGATATACCATGTAACAAATTTCCATACAAGGAAAAAGAGATAGCACCACCTTTTACAATTTAAATTTTTTTAAAAAAATTAAAAGGATATATCCATGTTTACCTTCGGGTACCTGGTCCCAAATGAATGGATAACAGCAGCTTTAAAGAAGAGAAAGAGACACACGTGTCTCCAGAAAAGGATGTGGTTGAAAATTTAAAAAAAGATGCCCCAAAGCAAGTTCTAATAGATATCTACATGCCCTCTAGGCAAGAAGATCTTAAGTCTGTGTGCAGTAACAGTTTTTAAGTCGGTCTTCTCTGTGTGTGTCTCTGTCATCCTTTCATGCTCACTTCCGGTGCTTGTCCATCTTCTCAAGGTTTTTATTGGCATCTTGGGGGCTTTGATCTCCTGCATTCATATATGATTTGTCTGCTAGTTTGAGCGCCTCATTCAGGTAGTTCTGCACAGATGTCATCGCAGCACAGATTGCAGCGCTCCCAAATCCATGTGTGATCAGGCTGAAGTGAGTCAAACATCCCTGGATGCCAGGGTCTAAGATAGGGCTTGGCCTCGCGTTACCAAGAGGGGTTCGATCCTGAGTGAGGAGCTCTGTGAATTCTTTACAGATCTGTCTGGAAGAGGCAATACAAAACCAAATAATAATTAACACTGCATTTTTACTGGACAAAGGCAATTCAACTGAGTCACAAGGGCTTTATCACGTTCCTTCTACTGAGATTCTCAGATACGTTTAAGAATATTTCCCTTAAATATTTTAAGCGAAAAGTCGACAAGTAACTAAGTACCTGTAATATAAAGAGAGTAGCATGTGAATTATTTCCATATTTTAAATCCTCTCTTTTGTCCAAGAAGCTTACATGGTTTTTGGGTCTCATTTTTTCAGATCAGACTATCTGACTCCACAATGACTAGTATGGGCAGCAGTTCTCAAAAAGGAGAAGACACATTTGTGAGATGGGGTGTTCAGGTGCTTGGTAGAACCCTCAAGATGTTAAAAAATTGAGAAGTAGCATCTTGAATTAGGACCAGGAGCAAACAGGCAAGCTATGCAGTTTTAACAGCAGCAATCAGAGGAACAACATTTCTATCATGCATTGGTAATCTTAAAGACTAGCAATTTAGTTGACCAGGATATTTAAGAGTCATTCTCTTGCCATACACATTTCCTATGTTCCTCTCTTGAAACACACACACACACACACTAAAGATACCGCCTTTGTTTTAGAAGCACTAATGCTGTTACAGTACAATTTCAGAACTAAAAACAGCTTTAAGCCTTTTTTCAGCTGGACCTTCTGTCTAGATCCTGCTGTACTAAACAATTTAAAGCTAGCTGCAAGAGAATTTCCCCATCTGTGGTTTGCAAAAGTTACGTTAAAAGCAAAACTGCGACAGGCGGAGACCAACGATTGTGGTGGAGGCATGTACAGATTTCAAACTGTCCTTTGAGTTAGACCTCAAACCAGCTTGCAAACTTGTAAAAGTGGGAGACATCTTGTTAGACATTCCTAAAAATGCTTTGACTATTTCATAGTTTGGACACCCCACAGGTTTCATCTCTGCTACAATGCAATAGGTGCACATTTTGATCCTGCAACTATTCCTTCTTGTAGGGACCCGCAAACATTATTAAAATAAAAAGTGCTTCTTTCTGCCATTAAACTATTTAAAAGGGGGCAGCCCTTCTATCTTGTCTGAAATATTCCCTATAGAAGACTATAATTCTCAAACAGTAGCTAATATGCATTTTGGAGCAAGTGAAACTCATTTCTTCCTTTAAATCATCCCACCACTCAGTTCAAAAAGTCCACCAAATGCAGAAAAAGCCAAAATTTTACTCTCTAAAATAGCCACACAAATCCCTTGAGAGTAAGGTACTGAAGCCATATATCTGTACATATCACAACATATCAAAGTATCCAAAAACATACCATTCTGGATGACATGGGCCTACTTGGGGCTAGGATGCCCCCAGAATTCTTCGAACCATCATTTCCCACCAAACCACCTCCAGGGTGGCATGTTCTGGAGGAGCAACAGAACATCCCAGAGTTTTCTAAAATGTTCCGTCCCCAAATTTGTATATTTTGCACTTTCCTACCACAGTCCTTTCAATTTGAAAGAAAGTGTGCTTGGCAGAACAGTTTAACAGCCACTCTAAATGACATAAATTTTAGAAACACAAAAAGCAATGAGACGTTTGTTAGCTTCAGCTCAACCACTGTTTTCTTTGTTCAAACTGTAACTGTGCTTTATGTGTCTTGGAAATAAAAAACAGAGGACACAACTCAGCTTCTACTTATTTACACATGCCTGTGTGCATGCACACACATACCCTTTAACTTGCATATATTACACCCAACGGTGTTGAGGGGAGGTCAGCCTTTCCAAGCTTCTCCAGCTGTTTCGGAAGCTATCATAGTTGGAGATGCAATTTAAGCTACCTAAAGGTGGCCAGTTTTGGGAGACCCGATGTAGGCAGAACGTATGTATAGTAATGCAAGGCTGCCCCTCCACTCACACACATTTTCACTGATCCTAAGTGCAATCTCAATTCTGCCTTCCATCATTATGTAACCTCCCCGATAACTAAAAAAAAATAATGGTGGTCCTCACTATGACTTGGTATCTGTTGTTCCAGTGTCTAATACACTGAGAAAGCCCCCAGCAATAAGTTGCTGGACCCAAGTTGAAAAGGAAGAGGTAGCAGGTAATGTGAAAGACTATGGGGCACCTCCCAGAGTAGACTTACTGGCTAAATGACCCAATATAGCCAGCCCCTTCTGTTCCCGTGCTCAGGGCAGAGTTGACAAGAACCAGATTTCAGGTGATTAAAATCTCAAGAGGCCTTAAAGCCTTTGTGTTGCTCTATGAAACCTTGCCTGCTGTTTTCAAAACAGCCCTTATTTTAGACCAGGTGATAACAGGGAGTCATTAAATGCAAACCAACAGACAAATAAGGATGCTCCTGTTCATAAAGAGATGCAAGACTCTAATTTAAAATACAAGAACCTAATTTAAATCTTGATTTGATTTTCTTCTCCAAACTCTTCCTTCTAAGGAGATGCTCCCTTCTAAGGCAAGAATGAGCAACCTACATCTTCTCAGGCTGCTTTCCTGAGGGGAGGGGAGGGGAGGGGAGGGGAGTCTCCAACCTTACTTCCAAATTTTGGGTTCCCACCATTCCAAGGCTAGAAACCCATGAAAACTGTATTTTAAGCTTAAAACAGACTTAACACAGCTTTAAAAAGTAGAATGCTAACCTTTTCCTGGATTAAAAATCCAGGCTTTGCCCATATTCAGTATAAGCCCCCATTCAGACTCTATCCTTCCTCCTCTTCACACCATTCCAAAAGGCTCATCTTTTGCCCATTCCTGTTTCTAGGGATTACTGAGAAAATACCATTTGAGCCTTCTAAGCATTTTAATATATTCTATAAATCTTACATATTACTTTCCAGGGAGAAGCTTCCACTAAATAAAATTACTTACTTTGCGGCAAGGAGCATGTTCTTCCTGCTGGCCATCTCATTCCGGCCCAGATGAGGCCGAGTTAAATATTCAGCCACAGCTTTAGAAGGGAATTCGGTTTCACACACATAGCCAAAATCCCGGGCAAGATGTACAGCTTCACCTGCAAGTGGACCATAGAAGAGGAGGAGGAGGAGGAGGAGGAGGAGGAGGAAAGCAAGGATTTGCTTATTAGATCATGCCCTCTTAAATAACTGTTTGCAGACAAACAGATGTACAATATTTGCCACTGTTGTGACCAGCCCATATGTTAACAAGATTATTTTTCTCTCCAACTTATATTTTATAAAATCATCATTTGAGTTCAGCTTTTAAAAATAGGGCTACCTAAGAAAACTCCTTTATTTGATGAGTAGCATTGTGATTTTAAGTTTTTTCTGGATATCTAAATGTTGCAAAGAAACTATCTTCCCCAGAATGGTGCCTTTTTGATTGCACATAGCACACCCAGTCAGCAAAACCAAAGGCTATGCAATCTGGGCATCTGGAAGATAAAGTCCCACACATCTGGAAGGCACCAGATAGGAGAAGGTTGGTTTAAGGCAATAGGCAATATTATATTTCCATCATAATTAAGGGTCAGGATCTTTACAGGATAATAGTCTGACTTAAAGTAGGTCACAGTATCAAGTCCCACCATACAAATATTTCTCATCCTATAATTGTCATCTGCTCCACTCTGTTTTTGCAAAATGTGAAGCAACTGCAAAAATATTTTGTTGGCAATAATTAGCATGAATTAGCACAAGTTCTAAGCAACCAGGATATTTATAAGCCGAGCAGCAAATGAACCTCCACCAATTGCTCCTGAATGTATGAGCGTCACCTCTCATGCTATCGGCACAGCTTGAGCCAAAATGCACTCATCCCAAAGTTGACAACGCTCCCGTCAAAATACCTAGGAAGGCATCTATTCAGTTTTAATGGATCTGGATTCCATCCAGACAGCCCATTTGATAATGCAGTTCAGCAAAAGCTGTGGGTTGCAACAACTCTGACTATCAACATGCTCTTCCTTGGAAATAACAACTGGTTTACCCATGTGACTTTATCATTTGACTGCAGTACCAAAGGATGCCTAACTACAAATACAAGTTTCACATATACTTATTTTCAATGGAGGTTGGTCTTGCACTAATATAACCTTTCATTCCATTCCAAGTCTCTAAGGTTTGAAACAAGAAAGCTTAACAGACTTAGAAAATGCATTCTGCTTCCAAACAAATATAATTATGATAAAACATTATTTTGTTTTTAAAAAGTTCTACTTTTGTTGTTGGCTATACTCTCTCCTTAACTGCCATCACCCACCAAAATAAAACAAGAACATTAGAGAGGATCTTGAAAGTTATCTCATCTAACCCACTTGCTGGGCAAATATCCCTGTCAACAGCCAGCCAGAGTCTTCTGAAGTACCTCAAGCCAAGGAAGACACCAACAGCTCTCAACGCTTTTTCTGCTGTCAAACTGATCCTACCGCTTCTCCTAACTAAGAGTTTAGCTGAAGTCTGCTGCCTCCCAACTTTCATCTACTGGTTTTAGCCCTACCTTCTGCAACAACAGAGAACAGACTTGATTCATCTTCATCAGCGCAGGTCTGAAAATACTGATTTTAGGAACTATTTTGTTGTCAAGCTAAGCAACACTGGGCCTGGTTAATATTTGGAGGGGAGACTTCTGGGAAGTCCTGAGTTCTAGGCTAGACCCTAGATTCCCCAAAAGCAGTGGCAAACCACTTATCTACTGCTGCCAAGAAAACTGTGTGGTTGTATCCATGAAGTCATCAGAAGTCAAGCTTGACTCAAAGGGGACTTGACTTCACTCTAAAAGTCACTGGTGATGAAAATATGTCCTCCTCAACTGAAACTCTTCCTATTAACTACTTATTGTGTTAATTATTAACTGATCATTAATTGTACTCATGTGACTATTTAGTTAATTGTTTTAGGTCATTGTATGGTAGCTGAGTACTGTACAGTTAAAAAAAACATAAAGCACCAGATAGCCCAGTAGAGGTTCTTACTCATATTAAACACAGCAATTTGTCATGCTGCAAAATTTGTATTTGAAAGGGGCATATCGGTCCAAATCCCTTGTACAATGAACTCCTTGCACAATAAATATTTCTAATTTAATTTAATGGATTTTGAGAGTGCTCAATTTCAAAAGGGCTCTGGGTGGCTTACAATGTTTAGATATTTCTATATCAAATATTTATAGTTGGTTTAGAATATAGAAATCTCAGCTTTTGTTTTAAAAGGTGATTTTAGAATTCCATGGACGAACACGCATTGTTGCAATTTATCTTTCTGATTTAGCAATCCAAAATCTCTGGTTTGGGCTCTTCTCTGTTCACTATTGCTCTGAACCCTTATCAGTCACTGCCAATCTTTCTTCTCAGCTTTTTATACATTGTTTTTAGCTCTGTTTCACTCAGTGCAGCTTTATAAGGAATTCTTTAAAATATCAGACAGTGTAGCAAGAATTTAAGCTGCTTGTTAGTACACACGTTAAAGTACCCCAAGAAACAAAGTAATCAAAGAGTGGAAAAAGTCCTTGGATTCATACAATGGAGGTGGAAGACAATCTGATTCTCCTAAATCAGCCATTTCTGCAGAAAACATCTGTCCTCATCTACCAATAACAGGAAAAAAAAAACCTGACCCATTTAACTGGAGTCAACACTGACTCAAAGGCACACGTGTAATAACAACAACAACTGGCAGTGTTAAACATGGCTCCAGTTATACTGGGAAGAGGAAGAGAGATGTTCAAAGCTTCTGATCACATCTGAAGTGTGACATCTCTGAGTCTCCAATGAACAAATTTCACCACTGATTAGTTATTGTGCGGTTAAAAAAAATTGACAATCAAACAATTTTTACTGCCTTGGTGATAAATGAAATGCCAATTTTACAGCACCTGTAAAAACTCCCAGTCCAAACCTTTCTTAAACAAACATACCACCTCTGAAAATGATGTTTATCCTTCAAGTTTATGCTCCAGCACATCCTTCATTCCTCCCTCCCCACTTCTGGTTTGAGTACTATTACCTTCACCTACAACTGTACAGTTGAAAAAATGGATTAGCTACCAAAAGCATTTTGGAGTAAAAGAGAGGCCACTGGACACAGAACTGGAAAGTGCCATTTAGACCTTCAAGTCCAACCTCCTATTCAGGCAGAAATTTAAATTAAAGCATCTCCAATATACATCTGCCCAGACTCCATTTTAGCATACCCTAGAGTGAGAAGTTCAACACCTCCCATGGCAATCAGCTCCAGAGCTGAACAGCTCTTACGATTAGGTTTCTTCTCATTCAGTTGGAATCAAGACCATTATTCTGTGTCCTGCCCATATTTCTGAAGATTGCCCTTTCAGAAGACAGTTTCATCAGGGAACACAAATTGCTCCCGTTGGCCTTTAACCTAGAAAAAGCTTTAAAGAAAAGATCCACTGACCTTCCACCAATGACGTAAGTAATGTCACATTTGCAGCTTTCCTTCTGCCCGCAGGAAGGTTCAAGCCAATTTTGTCCAGCTTCTCCCTTAGTGAGCGGCCCCCGTTTTTAGATTTGGCTCTGCAAATGAGAGAAAGGGATGGGCGGTGTGTTTAGATGCATCGCTGAAGAGGTCACATTTTGAAGCAATTGGGAAATGCAAGTTGCTGACATTCAATACACTTCTGTTGGTGGGGGAGGGAAGAGGGGGCTGTGACAAAACAAGGGCTGACCTACTTTTGAATGCTCCATCATATGAACATCAGAAAGCAAGATCAAAAAGGAAGGGAGGGGGAGGAAGGGTAGGACACGCTTTGCCTCTGCGTTTACACTATCAAGCATCATTACAAGGATGATGATCGACATAATGAAAATTAAAACCTTTTACAAACACAGAGCATCAAACAAACTTTTGTTGTGGCAGTACCCATACATGGATATTAAATGAGACTGCAGCCTTAATTTTTTGCCTAGGAAGTAGAGTCCACTGTACTTCCACCGCTATGAATGCCATTTGAGGAGTATGGAGAGAATTGGGGACGGTCCCCAATTCCTGAAATTTAGACTACATATTAGCAGTTCTCTAAAGCAGTGTGTAATGGTATGTGGGAAAGACCGTGGGAGACAGGGCAAAGAGATATTGCCTAGAGAATGGTCAGATAAGAGACAGCATTGCCCAAAGCTGGAAAGTGGGTGGGGCAAGAGGCTCAGAAGGGACCCTCCCTAGTTTCTCGGGCAGGAGAACTGTACTTTCAGACTTGCAAGATTCTGTTAATGTAGCTTTATAATAAAGTAGAATTAGCTTGTCTGGTTATGTTTCCTGGCTGTTCTACCTGGTAAGGCTAACACAGTGTTTCTCAACCTCAGCAACTTCAAGATGGGTGGACTTCAACTCCCAGAGTTCCCCAACACATATTACGGTAATTTCCACATTTGTTTCCCTATATGTTTACTGGCGATACAAATGTTAGGTCAATCTGTGTTCTCTTTTGTGGTGATGCATTTCCTCATTTGGATGATAGCACCTATTTAAAAGCATCCATAAATTCATATAAAGCACATGGCTTTCAACTCAGTCTGTATACTGGGTTCTGAGTGACACGCTGGGGAATTGCACCCCAAGACAAAAACATTAAATTTAATTAATCTGCAATTAAATATCATTAAGAAAAATGCTTACTTAAGACTTTCCCTATCCTCCTATGTCAAAAACTTTAGGCACTGCCTGAAAGCCCTGGGCACCCCCACTTTAATGATGGTGTGCTTGGAATCTCACCTCTGGTATGACTTCCCCCAGGTGTGTTGGAATATAGCCCTGCGATTACTTGGGTGGGTAATGAGAGTTTCCCTCACAGTAGGTAGCTACATGTATTCAACTTCTGCTGATCCCCCCAAAACTAAAGAGGATCAGCTATGGTCAGTGTTTGGATAGAAGACCACTAGCATATCTCAGTGTTGTAAACTAGATAGAGAAGTTAAAACCAAAAACAAGAGTGGTCAATTGCTTGCATACTGTTGCAGAGAAAATAATGTGGGGATGGCCGAGTAGTCCCCAGAATTTAAACCTGACTGAAGGACAGCTTTCCTTTGCCCTCCATAAATTACAGCTGACAGCTTTGGAATCTGCCCCAGCAACTCTTGTTTTGGCAGCCCCTCAATGTGCAGACAGGCAATAAACATGAATCATCTCGGTTAGAAGAGTTTCACCTGCCCATTTCCGAACCTCAAATAGACAGGAATAAACCAGGACAGGCTGTTTTAATCCCACTCAGTTAAAGCCTTAATACGATTTGGAAATGGTGTTGTTTTAAAATAATCAATATATTCCTCTTCACACCCTTTTAACATTAGGCTGTATACCATAAACTGGTAAAGACCTGACTCCCTATTCAATTATTTCTTTTTTCCAATGTGGGGGGGAGTCACTTTAACAGGAAAAGAGAACGTGCATCGAATCCTGTTATGGCACTTTTCAATTCTGGAAAGGCAAAAGGGTGCCAAAGAGAAAAAGAGAGTGTGAAGGAAAGGCTTCAAAATAAACCCTATTAGAATGCAGCGTTTTATTTCCCATTTTCAGATTCACAACAGCCCTGAGAGACAAGAAGAAGCTATTCTGTTCACAGGCCATTCAGCTCCACAGGACACAAGGAAGCCCCGGTGATAGGGCATGATTTCTCCCGGGAGGGGAGGGGAGAGACGACAGAGGAATGAACATGCCTACCTTCTGAGGACCCCTCCCAGCAGAGATGCATTGAGACATTCGGGAGGAGACAGTCTTCGCTGAACCTCTGCAACTGTCACTTTGTATTTTGATGTCGAACTGAGGAGAGAAAGCCGCCCAGGAACGGAGCAGAACACTTCATTGGGGTTGATCACTACTCCCAGAAGTCCATCTTTCTGGCAAGGAAGACCTAATGCATTGTTTTTCGTTAGTGAAATGGGACCTGGAGAACCAAAATATACAAAAAACAGACAAACTAGGATGGAGTGTTTCTTCCATCTTTTTTTCTGGGAAATCTAAACCTTTAACATAAGAATCTACAGGATTATGCCATCCACAGCCTGATGTCCTGGTGAACTGGACTTTATTTACCATAACCCCCAGTCATTCTATGTCTGATAGCTGGGCATTATGGTATCTGAAGTCTTATAGGCACCAGGTTGAAGAAGGTTGCTTTCCATAATGAATCCATCAAATTTTACTAAACAATTAAAGAGCATTCCTAGCCTAACATGAAAAGGGCAGGTAAGGATCTCCTTACTACTTGAGGACACCTGACACAGTTATATAAAAAAGATTGTTCTTTTCTTATTAAACAAAGTATTACGAATGTATTGCTTAAGTGTCTTCCTAGTTGTGCTGATTCAATCTATTGTTCTAACAATTAAGAACAATAAGCTACAATCCAATAACTATGCCCCTCTTTGGCCCTGAAATCCACAGGCCATGGATGGGAGCCAGACAAGGTTACACAACTTTTTCTAAGCCGACAATTCTCATATCTTGATAACAAAATTGCTGTCGTATTATTACATAAAATGTTCCAAGTTCAGTCATTTCATTTCAAATGCCTTTTTCTTGACTTCCAGTTCCTGGAGTGGCATCTTGACTTTATGAAAATTAAAACATAGAAAACAAGTCAGCAGATGTGTACTTCTGCTGAAATATGCTCAACTGGCAGCTACATTTTGACCCATTGAAACCTGACCTCTTCCCCATGAACAGTTGGAGTTGGAACCGTCAGGAGAAGAAAGGGTTAAATCACTAAGCCAGACACTTTATTTATCAAAGGAGGAAGATTTTGAAAAGCAGGTGAAACAGACGGCAGAAAAATAGTTCTGCCATGAGCTAATTCTCAAATCAGCCATGAGTTGACAACAAAACATTTCTGGTTCTTCTCAAACACATTTTCCCCCTTGTCACTCTGAAGTTACAGACAAAATCATCCTTTGAGTTATATATTTATTCTAAAACCTTTGGCAAGGGGGGGAGGGTGAATTGGCCAACAAAACGAAGGAAAGGTCTGTGCAGTTTCTCCACCACGGATCTGCACCTCAACCTTATCAATACCACCAGTGGAAGTTTGTGATGTGGATACACATCAGCATTCTGCAACCTGGTACCCCTCCTAAACCCATGTTAAATTAGAGCTTATCATGGATAACCTGGATGAGCATGGATGATGGCTGCTGTAGTACACAGAGGGCCTCTGTAGGGAAGGCTAACACACATCTCATCAAAGAAGAGGCCACTCTTTTTAAAAGAAAAAGAGGGATGTTCTTCTATTTTTAATACTGAACAGAACCCACTAAAAATAAATGTTGAAGCCATGGCCAAAATAAAAGATGTTGGTTGCAGCAAAAACATTTCTTTGTTGATTTGCCCACATTAAACACAAGCATCAACAATGCAAAGGAAGAGAGATCATTATCCTCAAAGAAATGTTTCTTCGTTCTATTATCCGTGAGAGCTTACATTCCCCGCCCCCCGTTAGATGAATGATTTTTCTTCTTCCAAGACAGCTACCCCTACCAGTGAAATGGATAATAAGAAAACAAATGTTAACAAAGAGAACTCACTCACCAAAACTACACATTAAATGTATTGTAACACAGAACATATCCTCCAAGGGAATGACTACAACATTTCCACAAGGAAACTTAAATAACCCATTTTAAATCCATTGTATTAACCCAAGATACGTGTTCTGGATACTTTTTTAAAATGGAGATTTGTAAACATTTGTTTCTAAATAAATATTCATGTTGATCATATCCACAGCCTATTTTTCAGGGGGGGGGGGAAATCCTTGGGTATATACGACAGCTCATATATATCTTACTTTTTTATATTGTAGTTATGTGTTGTTGTTTTAAACAAAGTCTCTTTTCAAAAAGGAACATAAAGGCAAACATGAAACCTGGTCTATAACTCCTAAAACAGTTTATGAGTGAAAATACCATCCTTTAAAGACAAAAGAAAACAAACCAGCAGAATGTAAACTTACTGACCTTTTCTAATGACTGTCTGGTCATGCATTAATAAGTGCTGATCTTCCACATTCTGGAGAGAGAATGTGAATTTTTTTTTAAGAATACAGTTTTGGAATACAATTTATGACCCCTTCCCCACCCGATATACAAAACATATTTCATTAACTTATTCCTCTAATGGGTTTTAGCAAAAACCATAAACTTTACAGCAAGGAAGGGAGTTTTAATTCCAGTGGGACATCCAAACAGGCCCAACCCAGCAAAAATTACCTTTTTGAAATCTTATTGAGATCAGTGGAGTGCATAATCTTACAAAGCTGCAGTGCCTGTCAGCTTATTAGAGGAACCAAGTCAGCGGCTTTACTTTTCAGAAAATGTGCTGCATTCACCCTTGTGCGTATTTAGAATTATGATCCACTGACTTCAAAAGGGCACAGTTGTGACTGCATTCATGGATCTGCTAAAATCCCCAGTTAAACAAGTGAGGAAGTTCATTAGGTAACTGTCGCCAGAGGCATTTAGGATTGTGGTACGAACAAACAAAAAATCTGTGGTTCTCCATTTCTGAAACACAATGATCGTAACTCAGAACATTTTCAAGTTCGCTTTACTATAATTCAGGAAAAGTGGTTCATACCATCCTGTTAAGCTGTCATATGGTTGGCCTGCTTGAGACTTGTTGTGATATGTGAATAGATCCACAAACACAGACTGTGATTTACAAACTACAAGGAATAGGATCACACCTAATGGTAAAATTAATTATGGGGTTGAGCATTATAGGTGAGTTAGACCAACATCTGAGCAGTTGGGCTTTATTCATGGTCTATTTATTTTCAGAGTTATTTTAGATGACCTGAGCCAGTTTGGTATAGTGGTTAAGGCACCAGGCTAGAAACCGGGAGGCCGTGAGTTCTAGTTCTGCCTTAGGCATAAAGCCAGCTGGGTGACCCTGGGCCAGTCACTTTCTCTCAGCCCTAGGAAGGAGACAGTGGCAAACCACTTCACCAGAAGTCAAAAACTGACTCAAAGGCCAAAAAAAAAAAAAAAAAATCTAAATGACCTAACCATGACAATGAAAGACCAACAATTTTGGGAGCAAGCAGTTTGTGCTTCAAGACTACAAGGTTGCAGAATGCCATTCTTGGCCACATTGCTGTGAACTGTCAGCTTAGAGACTACTTAGGAGCCTAAGGAACATCTTGTTAATGATGCAAAACTTCTATCCCTGTGGCTAAAGTCTACAGTCCTATATATAAATCCAACTAGAATCAGTGGAGCCAAACCTGAATGAATGAACTCACTTAGCAAACTTTCCTTGTAGCATAGAAGATTGCTGTACAAATGATATGAACCACTTTGATTATTTCGTTGATCAAGAAGACAGGATGCAAATGGAACAAAATAAAATGTTCATTGCAATTGCCTTTCCCAACCTGGTGCTTTGCAAATATGGAATGCTATTGGCCATTGGTGGCTGGGAACTGGCTGGAACAGTTGGCGAGCATCAGGTTGGAGAAAGCCATGTTAGCAAATCAAGCTTTGTTCCTTGACAAAGCATAGGGAGCAAGATAGCAGTATCATTGCTGCAGGATTGTTCAATAATAGGATTGCATAGCTTATGAAGCAATGGAGGAAAGATATGATTCTCACACCTCTGGGTTTGTGCAATGCCTCTTTCATCCCTGATTGATACACACTTCAGTGTGAAATAGTGATTCGGGTTTCAAACTGGAGACTTCATGCAGATTTTCGTACATAAAGAAAATAAGCATGCGTGGCTGAACAAAACTGTCCATTCTACCAGCATCTGTAGGAGCATTTTCTCCATGAATGGAAAATGCTTATAGCACCTTCCATTTCCTTACACAATACACAACATGCAGGAATCACTCTATGAGCCTTCAGGCATGAAATGCTGTGATTGGACCTTGTGTCCATACCTGCCCACCCTCACCCTTTATTTTAGCTTTAATGATGTTGCAGTGACTATATACATCTTCATCTATTAACCTACTCATGCTACATGGCCACTGTGAGAGCAAAATGGGTGGATGAACTTGAGCTCTTGTTGAAGATAAATGATCTGATCAGTTGCTAAACAACTAAGTGAAAACACAAGCACCTATTTTCTCAAAGGTGAGGGTATAATGCTCAGCTCACAGGGGCCTGTTCTTGTTGAAACTTTATATAGTGCAGCTTGTCCAGAACTAAGAATTCCAACCTCTCCAAATAAAGGTTGCTTTAGTAAGATAGCCAAGCCTTCCCCCTGAGCTATTGGTTAGCAAAAGCTGCTGGAGCATCACCCATTCATTGCATCCTATTCTGACCCCAGAACTTTTACCTGCACCTCTTCCATCTGGTGGGTCATGTCATGCAGTCCTAGGTTTTCTGCTAGGCTGGAAGCATCGAGCCCATGGCCATGGGGCAGGAGCAGCTCAGATCGCCTGTAGGTGTCCCTTCGTACCCCAACAGAGCCACTTTCCAGAGCTGGGAGATGAGGCACCAAGCCCGATCGGGCATGATGGGATAAACCAGAAGGATCTTGGTTGGTCTGACGGTTGGGCCAGCTGGTTTGCTGCTGGCTGGGAGGTGGTGGTGGTGGCTGGTGAAGTGCGTTGATGGAAAAAGGATCCCCAAGGTGTGAGTAAGGATCACTGGACTGGGAGTAAGGCAAAGGCTGATAGGGGGGAGGGAAATAAGGTGGCTGGAAATCAGAGGTCCCCGAGTGGGAAAGAGGGGGAGCTGGGCTGTAGAGATGCTGGCTGACAGCAGAGAGGTGGGGCAATCTGGGATTCCCATTGCTGCTTCCATCATGCCGGTCCTGAGAAAAGAACAGATGCAACTCCAGGTTAGTGAAATTCTGGAGCTGGAGAAAGGCCTGCAAAATACCATACAGTGGCACTCTGCTTCACAGGCATCATTGGGAAGCAAGCCCCACTGACATATTCTGTTTTTTAGAATCATAGAAATTACCACACAAGCATTTTTAGATACAACTGGAAGTAGCTTCCAATATGACAAAAACAAGCTCTCTGGAGTTCATGAGATTAGACTGCAGAACTTGGATCTCACACTTTCAAGTGACTCCTATATTTTCCCTTTGAAATAAATGCATTTGCTTTGGAGTAAGCAGTTTGAAGACAGCTGCTTAATTCTGCTTGGGATTAAGATCAGTACTCAAATATGGCAGAGATTAATTAAATGTGTGCATTAGGATCATGAACCTGTTCTCCAATCTTAAATGCAACAATTTGCAAACTAATTAACACCAGGTTCTTATTTTCAATCCATACATTTTGGGGCCAGTCGATTTAAAAGAAAAAAAAATCTGTAATAAATAAACTCTGTAATAAATGTCATAAATAAATACATTTGGAGCAAATTCAGTTTACTTCTATGGCCACCTATTTCATATAACGACTCTAGGTAGCTCACAAATTTATTAAATTGATATGCCACCTGACTCCCAGCAGTTTACAACTGATAAAACATTTTTTAAAAAGAGAACAATATAAAAAAAACATGAAAATAAATCCACAACAGCACAACAGTGGCAAAGAAAATAAAGCCAGAGGGGAACAGGAAGGGGCAAGTGTCTTCGCCAAAGGCCTGGAGGGTGAAGAGGCGGGTCTTTAAGGCCCTTCAAAAACCCAGTAGGATGGGAGCCATTTGAATTTCGGGGAGAATCTCATTCCAGAAGGCAGGCACTGCTACAGAAAAGGCATGTTTTCAGGGTCCCCAAACTGACAGCTACACATAAATGTACATATATTACCCTGAAATCTTTGGCATGTAATCTAACCATATATTTGATTAATCAGAATTTATCCCATTTAGTTCAAGGAGTCCAATACATGACCTTACCATTTATCCCACAAATACTGGGATCAAATATCATTTATTTCAATGGGCTTTAAGTCCCCCCAGAATATATTCACAACTTCAAGTTTGAGAACTTTTTGTTTTAAAGAAAGGATATATATCAATTCTTTAACGTATCACAACATTTACAAAATTGTGCATCTAAACAACAACTATACCTTGCCCACTCATTGCTGTAAAAAACAGCAAACACCCCTTAGCAACTGAAAAGTTGATTAACTCATTAGCCAGGTTACCTAATATGGAGCTATATAGGAGGGTTCCAGTGTGTGTGTGTGTGTATAATTAATATTAATACTTATAGTTACAATTCAGAGAGTTCCTTTTTTTAAAAAAAAAAAGTCATGCACTACAGAAGAGGCCAACCGGTCGGGCTGTAGGTATCTCCAGGGCTACTGCAGGTCACCAATACTTGATTACTGAATTAGTTAAAACCACAATCAGTGTAAAGCTGGGAGTTGTGCAGCTTCTCCCCTGTTAAAAGAACAGGGAAAATCAATCAAAGGAGAACTGGAACAGAGGCAAGAGGAAAAATGCCAGGGCTTCTAAGAGTTGGAAGGCAGTTCCCCGGTCGCTTTCCTAAAAAACCCCAGATTGTACCCAATACCAAAGTCCTGAAGAAACTCACAATTAGCACCCCCCATTCTATTTTCTTCGGGATAGGAAAGGCCTCTCTCTTTTCTCCCCACCCCATACAAACTCAGTTTATCTTTGTGCCCTCAGAGGCACCTTTGTTATCTCGGCATTGGGCAGCCAACTCCAGAGCCAAATGGCACATTGGCATGTGAGACTGGGACCCACTTTTCTAGGGGTAAAGCTCAGCCAACCAGGCAGAGATGTATACAGACTTGTTCTGCAATTAAGGTCCTCCGACTTGTTAGTTTAATTCCAAAGACATTAAAACAAAGAAATAAAGTGAATTGCAGCCCAGAAATGGTGGGCCAATCCGCCTGTTGGATCACTTTTTAGTCTACCCCACAGGGCTGACTTTCGAGGCAAAGTTTTATTGAATGAATCACATGCCTTTATTAAATAAAATATTACTTACAGGACACTTCAATCTATACCAATTCTGGTCTTGCTTCCAACTGAATGTTAAATCTGATTCCAGATTTTCTGATTTTTTGTTTTGTTTTGCATCATGCAGATCTCTCCCATGCAAGGGCTTTTTTTTCCCCTTTAAACCCCAAAGAAAAGTGAATTTAGGAGCAAAGAGTGGTCCCTTAATTTACTTGAGGTTGCAGTCCTGTACCCAATTTACTTAGCAAGGAACCCTACTGAACCTATGGGCCTTACTCTCAGAAATGTCCCTGCATGGCCTCCGAAATCCCTGAAGTGCCTAAATGCAAACAGAGGCACAGCACACTTAACTTGGTTACTGATTTAACCCTCCTTATGAGTTTGTGTTGAACCACAAACTAATCAAATGTATTAGGTTCACATTCACACAACACATGCTAAACCATTAAGAAACTAACCAACTAATCATGATCTACAAATGCATCTGGCATATCTTTATCTGGCTTGGGGAAAGTGTTGCGCCAATACAATCACTGTGATGTTAAAATATGTTCCTAACCAAGCAAAAGGCCTCATCATTTTGATGGAAAATATACATTGGAGAATTATTCAAGTCACACTGGTGGCCAGAGCACAACACACTAATCTTGGTTACTTGAACCATAGTTTGCTATGGCAACACATTTGTCTGAGTTCACCCAACACAATCAACCACCAAGAACCTAATCACATTTCAGCCAAGGCTGCTGTGTGATCTCAGATACTTTAGAGTCACCACTCCTAATTCAAATTGGTGGATCAAGGTTCTTAATCATCCCATCGCCAGGAGAAGACTGCAAGCTGTTGAAAACTTTGGGTTCTTCAAACAGGGAGGGGTCAGAACATCTAGGACATCTAAGTCAAAAACCTCTCTTTGCGGCTGATATATGATCCTAAAAAACAAGTCACAGGAAATCAATCCCATTTAATCAAGACCCACCTTGGGGACCGGATATTACAAAAATGCCCAGCCAAATGCAGGCCTACTCATAAGTAAGTTACATGGGGGAAACATTCTAAACAAGAGAGAGGGCAAGGCAGGGCTTAAGAAAAGGCCGGAGGAGGAAAGTTTGCTTCCCTACTGCAGAGTATTGATACAGATTAACTCCCATCCAGATTCTCTTTCCCAACGCTTAAGGGAAGCCCAGCACTAAATACCCATTCACTGAAAAGAGGAACAGGCTTTTGTTCCAAGCCAACAGAAAACTCAAGGAGAGAAGGGGACAAGAACTTGGAAAGTCCTGTCCATTCTGTGCCCCACCCCCGCCCCTAGCAGGACTCCGGCCAGTGCTGTCAAGCAACAGACAAGAGGTAACCTAGTCCTGGGCAATTTCTTGTGGATCCTTGAAGGGAGACGACCCCGTGCCAGGATTTCCAGACCCTTGCCAGGATTTCCAAACCCTCCGGCACCCCCCTTCTTCCTCGCCCTCCCTCGAGGTCCGCTTGGCTGCTTGGTGGTAAAGGCGCAGAGGGGAGGGCCCCGGTGCCCTCCCGATGCCAAGATCGCCCACTTCCTGCCCTTTCCGAGGCCTCTTTCTCCTGCCCTTCCCGCTGCCGGAACCAGTCCAACAGGCTGGAGCGCTGGCTTCTGAGACTCAGTTGCCCAGGCCCTCGCTTCCACCCCCTCCCCTCCCCGCCCCGCCGCGTGGGGGAACCGGCTGCAGGGCGCGCACCTCGGCCTGAAAGCGTGCAAAAGTTTGCCTGGATTTCCCGCGGGGCGGGAGGCGGGAGGGGAGAGCCGGCAGGGATTAATCATTTCCGTCCCTCACCAAAAGCCAGGCAACCGCTTTTTCCTCTCTCTCCCTTTCCCTCCTCGCGAGGAAAGGCGTTGGGCAGAGGAAGAGACCGACAGCGAAAGGTTTGGGACGAAGGAAGCAGATTTCCTTCTCCCTTAAGGGGAACCGGGGAAGGGGGGAGTAGAGAAAAGTGTTTTACGGTCCTATTCAGGTAAGCCCCGTCGAGTTCAAGGACACATCCTTCTGCGTGCGCGAGTACGGCTGCGTTCGCACAACACTGGTTACTGAAATAATCGGGTAAACTAACTCAGGCTGGAATCGCGGAACACTCCCAGCCCTAACGAAAAGAAAGATGAACGCTACCTAAGCCGGCATCTTGTGGGACGCGTGCACCCACTAGGTCTTTCAAGAATCTGATTAAGCGTGCGGTACGAATGCCGCCTATCCGGTTAGTACAGCTTTACACCGATCACCCTGAAAGATTGGTATAATCTAGGCTAGGGAGAATTAATTGTTCTTGCGCACTCTTCGCCGCTCGTTCCAGAGTTCCACGACCTTCCTCCAGGATCTAACTCGCCCATACTAACAGGCCGACCGGTCGGTCTCACGAGAAAGAAATGTGCGGCCCATCTCTCGCGGGAGCCTTGGGGCGTTCGTGGTGTCTCAGGCGCTGCACAAAAGTTGCACAGGGCGCTTCCGACGCGAAGTGGACCCGGAGGATGCTACTGGGGGGAAGAGTCGTTATCCATCTCTAGGGATACCACACAGAACCCAAAGGGAGACCTTTACTTTGGAGGACGTCAAAGAGTCATTTTCGTGTAACCAAACTGCTTTCATGGACGGCTCCGAAGCCGCCTTCCTGCGGAAGACGGCGGGGATGCGAGTGAAATCCTATACCTCCCTCTAAAGTTAAGTCCCACTGAAACTTTTTTTAAGGATATTCAGACATCAGGGCCCCCCGAGAAACTTGTAGGAGCAAAAGGCAGAGGCCCAGCGTTCAAGGCTGAGGACCCCGAGACATCAGCTCCGCCGAAAAGAAAAAAAAACGAACCCCCTTTTTTTCAGCACATGGGAAAGAGCGCGTCCGACTCAAATATTGCACCTAGATTTGGGCGCACGATCTCCATTTCAGCAGGGTCAAAGCGGAAGCGTGCGCATCACTTTAATACATTTCCCTAATTAAAGCAGAAGCGGTCCGATTCTGAGTTCTAGCGCACTCCTAAAAAAGCACCTGCCCGAGAGTAAAGCTCATTAATTTCCCCGGGACCTATTTACGAGAACGCGAGTGAACTGTAGGGCATCCCTTAAACTGCACCTTGACTTCAGTGTCGTTAGGACTTGCCCCTTAATTTATAACGAAGTCAAGTCCTGCGAATGTCAAGAAAGCCTCGTGCCAGATACGCATGTCTGGGACGCAGCGCTGATAGACGCAAACGACTCCATTCCACAGTACAACCTGGAGGAACATTTTACCTGCCGATACCTCGGATTAACTCAGGGAACCGTCCACTAGCTCGTCTGTTCTGTCCCCTAACTCTGCATGGCCGTGAACGGAAAGCCAGTTAACAAAGCAGCAATGAGACCCCGTCGTATCAATGAGGACCAGCCACATGCACAGTCTTAAGCTCTCACCTCGCAGTCTTCTTCGTACTTGACATTGTCTGCTAGTTTCCACAACATGGCGTCCAGTATTCCCCAAAATTTTTTTTTTTTTAAATCAAATCTATAAGGATAGGAACCAGAAGGCGGGGAGGTTAAAGCGCCCCAGCCCAAAGTATGGTAAATCCAAGGAGGGCGCTGGAGAAAGTAGAACTCTCTCCCCAACCTTCAAGGAGCCGCTTTAAAGACAGGCATATAAACAAAGTAGCGGAGAAAGATATTCGCCCGGGAATTAATGACTGAGGTTCTTTTCCCATCCCCGCCACCCTTAATGGCCACCTCATTAGAATAACTCCTCCCCAGGGAGGGCCCAGGACCAGGAGGCTTCCCCTGACAGGCGGCGCAAAGCTAGCCAATCGGGAAATAGCGTGAGCTTGGGAAGCCCCGCCCGCTTGCGCTCCGGGCTTGGAGCCCTTCCAGGGCGCACACACGCGCGCCTGGGAAAGCGCCAGCCTGCCCGAAGGCTACTCACACGCATGGCTAGCAACCGGGCGGGGAAAGCGCTCAATGCGCGCACGCAACCCGGCTGGGAAAGCTTCATGCTGCGGCGCACGCTTCCAGCTGGACCCCGCGCGGCGAGGAAAATTAACCCTTTCGACGCACTACCTTCGCTGCGTTTCCCACCGAAGTTGGGGAGACGCGAAAGCCGGGAAGAACGAAGGGAAAGGATGCAACTCTCCCCGCATCCAAGCTCAACGGAGATGCCGGGAATATTTCCAAAAAGCTTAACCTAGCACACAGTGTGCAAAGCTGGTGGGGTTGCTAATGACTCAGGGGCATTCTCCGGATGCGTACACACGACCAGTTTAGCCAGGTCATTTGTTAAACCTTAGTTCTCACCTCGGTTAGGGTTTTGGTGGTTGAGCCTGTGGTGCGACCCCTATCCGTTTGGTCCCTTTGAGGCAATCTGTAGGGCGAACTCCCAACGGCATGAACCGGCCACTAGCTTAAAGGCGTTGTGTGAATGCCACTCCTATTCGTATAACCGACCTCAAGAAGTGGTGAAAATGAAAAGGAGACACTGCCCATAGCGCGCCGCCTAACTCCTAAATAAAAGGCCGGGTAGAATTATAGTCCTAAACTATATACATCTGAATGTTTCCCAGCAAACAAGAGAAGAGAAATTGCAAAGGGAATTGGTCTAAAGCCTGCCGTTTCCCCCCGTTTCTCCCGAATTCAGCTACTCCTTAAATAATACTGACATGTCTCATATAGAGCCGGCAAGGAAACCTAACCCGAGACTTGATCATCCGGTGCTTTAAGCAACCGGCCCTCGTGCGGCCTCAGATCGCCTGACCAGGGAGCTGGGGCACCGTGGAAACCGCTTGAGGCGACCCACTGCCCTGCAGTCCTCCTATTTACTCGGAGGTAAATTCCCTTCCTCGTAAGTTAATGCTAGGTGATGCAGCAAACGGGGCCTCGAAGCCCCGTGGGATCCGTTTCGCGGCCGAGCTCGATCCACCTTCCGGATCCTTTCGCTCTGGGTCCCGGGAAAGCGGGGCCGCCCTACTCTTCTTGCCGCGTCCCCGCAGCGGCTAAGCAACCCAGTCCCCTCGGATGCCAACTCTCGAGCTACATCCGAGCTGAACGCCGCTCCTCTAAGCTCCTGCGCTCGCTTCCACTGGAAGGAGCCGGGTTCGCCCCCTTGCCTGCCGCCCGGACAGGCAACAATTCGCCCTGGGGGTGCCAAGTCTCGGGGACGCCCGATTCCCAGCCCGGGGGTGGGGAGGAGGGGGAAACGGCGCCGATCCCCGGGAGAAATTCCAGAGGACCTACTTCTGCATCGACGCCGGCAAGAAGCTGGCACGTGGGAGGGGAGGGGAGCCTGCCAATCTTCTGGATCTCCCCCCTCCCCGTTGACTCCGAAGCCGTTTGCCTCCGAAGCCAGAATGGGTTTTACTCCAGCGGGAGCTCTGCCGTACCGAAAAGGAAGCCATAACCTTTTCGGGAGCCGCTCGGCGATTCCCCGGCGTGGGACGCTCCTCGCCTGATGAAATCGATTTAGCATCATAAAGCCTTCAAGTTAGCTTGCAAGCGAACTAAAGCTTCCTTTACGCCCACACCGCCTTCCGAGGAAAGGGACAGCGAGCGGCAGAGGGAGACGAGACTGACCTGTAAAGGGTAGCATATTATTGTATTATTTAACATGATCATCGTCGCAGAATAATCGTAATTACTTGGGAATAAATGCAGAACTGAAAATGCAGTTATCTCTACCCTTGTCTCTCCTTCCTCGCCAATCTAGCTAAAACCTGGCCATCGACTGGAATGGCAGAGTTTGGCGTCCCGTTGCAATCAATACGCCGCAAAGAGAGCGCCTAGCTAAGCTGCCCATTCTCCAGCTTCGGGATCCTCGTTACTAAGCCGAGATCCTTCCACAGCCCCCGGGCCCCGATGGGGGCTTCCAAAGGGGAGAAACAACTGCCCCCCACCCGGGTCTTATTTCTGGTCCACAGCCAAGAATGTTCCCGACCACAGGGAAGCGCTCTGGCAACTTAAACACCGAATCTGCCCCGCTCAGCTTGGCGCGGGGTGTAGCTGCGCTTCCCGGCCTACGAAGGGAGGTTGAATGTGTCTGCCTGTCTCAGTGGGGGCGTGGCACTGTCCTGACCCAGTTTTGGCATCTGTAAAATAGGACGGGGGTCCGTTCTTTTGACCTCTGGAAGCTTTCTATGAAATGCTGGAGCTCGGTGGAATTCCTTCCCACACAGTGCACGGAGGGCCTGCAGGTTAGTTGCTCAAGCTCTGCCGCGCATTTATTTGCCTTTAAAAAAACCATTAGCTAGCAAATAAACACCCACACACATCCCCGCGTGCAGTGCAAAGTAGACTCACTTGGGAGTCCCACTGGAAATCAGTGGAAACGGATTAAGGAGAGAAAATAGTCAAAGTTCCTCTCTCCCCAGAAAAATTTATTCAAATCAGGACCACTTTCCTCTGAAAAGTGTACATGCACACACAGATATCACAGCTATCCGTTTATATTTATCTCAGTTTTCTTTCGGTAGAGAGAGGGAACCGAGCACACTTTGGGTTGGATTTGCCCTTCTGGATAGTGGAAGCTTTGCTTTGCGGGCTGAGATCCAGGTAAAGTTATTCACTTCTCAGCACTTCAAGCAAGTGCTTAGAAGGCATATTGAAGGTAGAGGAAGGGTGTTTGTTAAAGTGACAGGATTGCTTCCCCTGAAATTGCATACAAAAAGTGCTTAATTTTGCCTGAATCAAATTTTAGCTTTCTTTTTTAAGATTACCAGGCAGCATGGGCAAGAGGCACATGTGTATTTTCACTGCAATCCTATGTAAGTCCCTTTGGTTTACAGATTTGATGCTCAAATCAGGAGGATTTTGGTAACATTGGTTGGAAAAGGTGCTATCTTGATTTGATGCCAGAAACATTTTTGGATGGCAGCCTTAAAAAAATGTCAGAATTTAGGATGCCCATTCTATACGTTATTTCCTCTAAGTAAACTCCATGAAACTTAGATTTAGCTTAGAATAGAATTGCATAGGACTGGGGCATTAAGCAGTTCACATTTCTCCATCATCTTCATTTGTTTTTTGAGCTTCAAGAGAAGAAGGAGGGAGATAGTCTTAAGAACTATTCTTGACTCATGATTTATGCTCCATGGATACTAATCCATAGTTAACTTAGCCATGGTTTATTAAATTAACCACCCAAGTAAACCAACACATTGGTGGGGGTCTTCAAGGACTCTAGGCTAAAATAGGGGTTGGTAGTCCATAGTTAAGCATGCTGCAAGCACCCATATAACATACTTTAACCTATCACTTGGTTTATTCCTTCAGGCATAGCATCTTATGGTAATGGTGTTTCGTTAAACCAGAATGAGGGGCTGAGCATGATGTGTGAACCTACCCACTGCGTTCCACACTACCAGACCCTACCTCAGCTCCACAGGGTTGCTTAGCGTCTTGACGATAATTTTTCTCAGATCTCTCTCTGGAAATCTCTTTGCAGGAACTCCAAACTACAATCCTCTCATTCATTAGCACTGATGGTCTCACTCCCCTTCCCCTGTTTATTAAACATGTCACCAGTCAAGTAATGGTGGTCCAGAAGCACTGGAAGACTGGGCAGAGCCAGAAAGTTGGAAGTCCCCCCCCCAAATCCCATTTTCCAAATGACCCAGGTGAAAAGCCCAGAGTAGATGCAACTGACCAGGTTAAAAAAAGAAGGGGGAGAGACTGAATTAATCAGCCAGCAATTAAACTGAGCCCTGTTATCTCTCTATCTGGCATGCAGGTGCTGATTCATAGCACTGGCGGAGGCCCAGGTGGGGCAAAAGAATCTGCATTTGCCACACAAAAAGGGGGGATTCACCCTCCCCCTCTAGCACTTGGCGTCATTAAGACCAGGCATTTCAATAAGAAAAAGACACAGCTCACCTTAACATTCCTCTATGGGAGGCAAACCATTATTTTCCCAACTGCTGCTTTTTTTAAAAAAAGCCACTTGCTGTAGATCTGATTTAATTATTCTGGCAGAACAGCTGACCTCTGAGAAAACTCTTGAGCTGCCATTTTTTAAAGAGTTTTCCCAAGGGTCAGGAAGCCCTCCGTCTTACTGAAATATGAAACAGACATAGCCAGCGCTCAGCCTTACTGAAAAGTTTTCTTGCAAGCCGTATTAACTTAAAAAAAAAAAAATCATTAGCATGCCTTTTCTGAAACTGGTGGGATGAGATTAACTCCAGCTTTTTGTGTCACTTAAAATAAATCCCATTTATATCATAAGAAATTTCAGGTCATAAATATGTTTACTGAGAAGCAAACCTCTCCCCCCTTGGTAGTCAATTATATTGTGCCATAAAAACATTTGTGGGTCCATCCCTTCCTTTATGAACTGCCTTGAAGAAACCATCAATATTGTTTGGTTTGGAAAAAGAAGGATTTAAAAGAAGGATATGCAGAAAATAAACATTACTTAGCATTCCCAGTGGGAATACAGTCATAGAAATGGGGTTAAGATCAGGGTTTAAGACCCTGATCCTCTTTGGCTTACCAATATGAAATTAGTTAAAATCA